TGCAGTGAATATGTAAAACACTGTATTTAAAAGCTTTTCAAAATTATTGAGAGACTTGTAAATGTATGGGTAGCAGTCATTCACTTGTCTATCCACAATTTAGTTTCAGCAAGTTAACATCCTTATAAATATTGTTCTGTAACAATATACACAGACTGATGAAAAATTGAAACTTGAACAAAATTCACACGTATTAAAAAGCATGCATACGCTGGTCGATGTCCACACTTTACAAGATAACTTGCTTGAATATATATTGATCAATATACAAACTTAGACGATAAGTTCAAAGTTGAGTGAAATCCATGCATAATTAATTAGCATACTGTACTCTGATTGGTCAATGGTTTTTGCCAAGTAACTTTGTCAGATAAGGCAAGATTCTGAAGAAACTTGGTTGATATCTTATTCAACAACAAAGGCAAAGTTCAAAGATGAACACAATCTGTACATAATCTATTTAATGGTTTAAAATAATCAGGTATTGGTTTAAGGGGTAAATGCCAGTTTCAGTTTTTAATGTTCTATGAAATACATTGTACTGACAAAGGGAAGCAATTCCTTATTCCTATGCAAATTAATTATCCAAAGGTTTAAAATGATATATTCGAGGAAACTTGGTACCCCTCTTCTGTCAAACCTATAAAGATATACTGTACACACAAGAAGAATAACTTCACAGTAGTACACTTTTACATAAAACTATGATTCATAACAAATAAACAGTAAATCCTTCTGTACAATATGATGAGAACTTCGTCTTTATTTTGTTCTCCATTTCAAAAATAATATATATATATCTTTTGCCTTAGCTTTCAGTACTTTGATTTTACATTTCGTGTACCTTTACATTTACGAGATTTCACGAAAATATGATGGGAACCTTCACCAATACATTAACTCTTCATTATGAGATGAATATTAACAAATGAGTATGAAATATCCTCTAAAAGCAATGTAAAAACAACAGTCTGATGATAAAATGTATAAGAACAAATTCTAAAACGTGACATTTGATCTTAAAATTGATTGGTAACAAAAACTTTATCAATCACACCAAGTGATGAAGCAAATTTGGATTTGGAATGTTTTGTGACCTAACACTGAAAGGTTTATTGTAGGCTTGCAACAAATTTCAGTACCAATTATATACCTGTAATCAGCTAAGGTGCATTGCTTTTTGGTAGACACCAGGGATGTGTCTTATGCCCTTTCATTTTTGGGTACACAGGGACTTTGTTGTGCGAAATGAATACTTTCCACCACATTTTATGGACTGAATTTTTGTATACATATTTGAAATAACACAACATCTTCATACTATGAAAATATTTGGTATACAAGAATAATAAGAATAAAAAATCCTATATTTAACATTAAAACAAAATGTTCGATTAAATTCACATTCTGGATGATATATACATTATTAAAGCACTACATGAAAGAAAATGTTCTTTCCTAAGTATTACGATGCAAAAAATACTTTCAGGCTGATATTCCATTTTTCGACCCCCATGCTGTAATTAGGTTAATTAGTCATCTAAATAATTAGTAGAGTGATTCAAAGTAAAAACATCAGATGTATAAAGGATTACAAAGTGTTAAAACAGCAGCATAAATCTTGTAGCACTTCTGAAACAAACGTTATGACGCAGCAGGCTCCTATGAAATTTTAACAAAGATGGTGTATTTTATTTCACTTGTTAGGTACAAGTGTGAGATTAATACCAGATGAGTGATACAGGCTCACAATGGACATCTTATCTATAAATGGCATGTATGACCCGCCGTGGGGTAGGAAGGGTGGGCCCATAATGGAAAAATAGAAGTAAATCTTTGAAAATCTATCTCCTTCAATATTAATGGAGGGATTTCAACCAAATTTGTTATAATCAGCATCCTTTGGCAAAAAGGATTCTATTTCCTATCAGTTGATAGTGAGCCCCCTGTCTCTAGGGGCAGATGGTTTGGGCAAAATCTTTCTCCTTCCTTAAGAATGAAGAAATTTAAATCAAATTTGGTCCAAAGGGAACTCAATTTTGTATAAACAGAAGATGTGTCCCCCCTTGTGTGCAAAGGGATGGGCCTATTATGGGAAATAGATATAACTCTAACATACTGTATGTTATATTGATTTATAGGTGACAAGAAATAGATATAACTAACATACTGTATATTGATTTATAGGTGACAAGAAATAGATATAACTAACATACTGTATATTGATTTATAGGTGACAAGAAATAGATATAACTAACATACTGTATATTGATTTATAGGTGACAAGAAATAGATATAACTTGAACATACTGTATGTTATATTGATTTATAGGTGACAAGAAATAGATATAACTAACATACTGTATGTTATTGATTTATAGGTGACAAGAAATAGATATAACCCTAACATACTGTACATTGATTTATAGGTGAAAAGAAATAGATATAACTAACATACTGTATATTGATTTATAGGTGACAAGAAAATAGATATAACTCTAACGTACTGTATGTTATATTGATTTATAGGTGACAAGAAATAGATATAACAAACATACTGTATATTGATTTATAGGTGACAATAAATAGATATAACTAACATACTGTATATTGATTTATAGGTGACAAGAAATAGATATAACTAACATACTGTATATTGATTTATAGGTGACAAGAAATAGATATAACTAACATACTGTATATTGATTTATAGGTGACAAGAAATAGATATAACTAACATACTGTATATTGATTTATAGGTGACAAGAAATAGATATAACTAACATACTGTATATTGATTTATAGGTGACAAGAAATAGATATAACTAACATACTGTATATTGATTTATAGGTGACAAGAAATAGATATAACTAACATACTGTATATTGATTTATAGGTGACAAGAAATAGATATAACTAACATACTGTATATTGATTTATAGGTGACAAGAAATAGATATAACTAACATACTGTATATTGATTTATAGGTGACAAGAAATAGATATAACTAACATACTGTATATTGATTTATAGGTGACAAGAAATAGATATAACTAACATACTGTATATTGATTTATAGGTGACAAGAAATAGATATAACTAACATACTGTATATTGATTTATAGGTGACAAGAAATAGATATAACTAACATACTGTATATTGATTTATAGGTGACAAGAAATAGATATAACTAACATACTGTATATTGATTTATAGGTGACAAGAAATAGATATAACTAACATACTGTATATTGATTTATAGGTGACAAGAAATAGATATAACTAACATACTGTATATTGATTTATAGGTGACAAGAAATAGATATAACTAACATACTGTATATTGATTTATAGGTGACAAGAAATAGATATAACTAACATACTGTATATTGATTTATAGGTGAGAAGAAATAGATATAACTTGAACATACTGTATGTTATATTGATTTATAGGTGACAAGAAATAGATATAACTAACATACTGTATATTGATTTATAGGTGACAAGAAATAGATATAACTAACATACTGTATATTGATTTATAGGTGACAAGAAATAGATATAACTAACATACTGTATATTGATTTATAGGTGACAAGAAATAGATATAACTAACATACTGTATATTGATTTATAGGTGACAAGAAATAGATATAACTAACATACTGTATATTGATTTATAGGTGACAAGAAATAGATATAACTAACATACTGTATATTGATTTATAGGTGACAAGAAATAGATATAACTAACATACTGTATATTGATTTATAGGTGACAAGAAATAGATATAACTAACATACTGTATATTGATTTATAGGTGACAAGAAATAGATATAACTAACATACTGTATATTGATTTATAGGTGACAAGAAATAGATATAACTAACATACTGTATATTGATTTATAGGTGACAAGAAATAGATATAACTAACATACTGTATATTGATTTATAGGTGACAAGAAATAGATATAACTAACATACTGTATATTGATTTATAGGTGACAAGAAATAGATATAACTAACATACTGTATATTGATTTATAGGTGACAAGAAATAGATATAACTAACATACTGTATATTGATTTATAGGTGACAAGAAATAGATATAACTTGAACATACTGTATGTTATATTGATTTATAGGTGACAAGAAATAGATATAACTTGAACATACTGTATGTTATATTGATTTATAGGTGACAAGAAATTGACTCCTGCTTCGCCTGAAGTTGTTGCACAGATTGTTGCTGAGGCTGAGAAAAAATTGAAAGCACAAAGTCAGGGAAACGAAGATGAAGCTGCCGCTGTTTTTCAGGTACGTAGCAGTACTGGAAAAAAAGCAGACATAGCACACAGTGCCAAGTGTTTGTTTTATGATACCAGAATTATCAATAATGAATAAACAACATGAAATACATACATATAAAATACATTAATACTGGTACATTCAGACTACATTCACACTAAATTGAACCGTTCCATCAATAATTACAACATGTATTCCATATCAAAGATTATAAAAGATCACACAGAGCTGTTTACTGTTATTCTAATAATGCAAAAGAACTTACAGTTTCACATATTATAATTATATATCATAAATCTATCTTCATAAATTTATCATTAGCTACAGCATTTGCATAAAACATAGAAAAAACACATATAAGAATACCTACCTCTTCTACATTAAAAGGTGTTCACACAATTACCGTGTCACATGGCTTTACACATATGTTTCAGTCAATGTATTGCACTTCCTTCACAAATAAATAACACATATATCAAACATTGTTCAGTATTGGATCTTTCATACTTATAGTAAATTGTTTAACTCTTTAATTGAGTCACAGTTTTCAATTAACTGCAACAATACTTTGTGTTAATATCTTTAAATCTTTCTATCATTTAGGCCTAGCAACTGCGGCAAACACCCTGCATTATTCACAGTCATTATGATTTTTGAAAATAATTAGGTTGTTTGATTAAATAATTTACACTGCATGTGAACAGTCAAAAGTTGTAGGATATCACATAACAAGTCAACAGTTGTAGTGTTACAAACACCAATTTATCATGTAGCCAGTCAACAGTTGTAGTGTTACAAACACCAGTTTATCATGTAACCAGTCAACAGTTGTAGTGTTACAAACACCAGTTTATCATGTAGCCAGTCAACAGTTGTAGGGTAACATACACAAGTTTATCATGTAACCATTCAACAGTTTTAGGGTCACAAATACCAGTTGCTCATGTAACCATGTCAACAGTTGTAGGGTAACAAACACCAGTTTATCATGTAACCAGTCAACAGTTGTAGGGTAACATACACCAGTTGATCATGTAGCCAGTCAACAGTTGTAGGGTAACATACACAAGTTTATCATGTAGCCAGTCAACAGTTGTAGGGTCACAAATACTAGTTGATCATGTAACCAGTCAGTAGTTGTAGGGTAACATAACCAGTTTATCATGTAGCCAGTCAGTAGTTGTAGGGTAACATACACAAGTTTATCATGTAACCATTCAACAGTTGTAGGGTCACAAATACCAGTTGATCATGTAACCAGTCAACAGTTGTAGGGTAACATACACCAGTTGATCATGTAACCATTCAACAGTTGTAGGGGTCACAAATACCAGTTGATCATGTAACCAGTCAGTAGTTGTATGGTAACATACACCAGTTGATCATGTAACCAGTCAGTAGTTGTAGGGTAACATACACCAGTTTATCATGTAGCCAGTCAACAGTTGTAGTGTTACAAACACCAGTTTATCATGTAGCCAGTCAGCAGTTGTAGTGTAACATACACAAGTGTATCATGTAACCAGTCAACAGTAGTAGGGTAACAAACACCAGTTTATCATGTAACCAGTCAGCAGTTGTAGTGTAACATACACCAGTTTATCATGTTACCAGTCAACAGTTGTAGGGTAACATACACCAGTTTATCATGTAACAAGTCAGCAGTTGTAGTGTTACAAACACCAGTTTATCACGTTACCAGTCAGCAGTTGTAGTGTTACAAACACCAGTTTATCATGTAACCAGTCAACAGTTGTAGTGTTACAAACACCAGTTTATCATGTAACCAGTCAACAGTTGTAGTGTTACAAACACCAGTTTATCATGTAACCAGTCAACAGTTGTAGTGTTACAAACACCAGTTTATCATGTAACCAGTCAACAGTTGTAGTGTTACAAACACCAGTTTATCATGTAACCAGTCAACAGTTGTAGTGTTACAAACACCAGTTTATCATGTAACCAGTCAACAGTTGTAGTGTTACAAACACCAGTTTATCATGTAACCAGTCAACAGTTGTAGTGTTACAAACACCAGTTTATCATGTAACCAGTCAACAGTTGTAGTGTTACAAACACCAGTTTATCATGTAACCAGTCAACAGTTGTAGTGTTACAAACACCAGTTTATCATGTAACCAGTCAACAGTTGTAGTGTTACAAACACCAGTTTATCATGTAACCAGTCAACAGTTGTAGTGTTACAAACACCAGTTTATCATGTAACCAGTCAACAGTTGTAGTGTTACAAACACCAGTTTATCATGTAACCAGTCAACAGTTGTAGTGTTACAAACACCAGTTTATCATGTAACCAGTCAACAGTTGTAGTGTTACAAACACCAGTTTATCATGTAACCAGTCAACAGTTGTAGTGTTACAAACACCAGTTTATCATGTAACCAGTCAACAGTTGTAGTGTTACAAACACCAGTTTATCATGTAACCAGTCAACAGTTGTAGTGTTACAAACACCAGTTTATCATGTAACCAGTCAACAGTTGTAGTGTTACAAACACCAGTTTATCATGTAACCAGTCAACAGTTGTAGTGTTACAAACACCAGTTTATCATGTAACCAGTCAACAGTTGTAGTGTTACAAACACCAGTTTATCATGTAACCAGTCAACAGTTGTAGTGTTACAAACACCAGTTTATCATGTAACCAGTCAACAGTTGTAGTGTTACAAACACCAGTTTATCATGTAACCAGTCAACAGTTGTAGTGTTACAAACACCAGTTTATCATGTAACCAGTCAACAGTTGTAGTGTTACAAACACCAGTTTATCATGTAACCAGTCAACAGTTGTAGTGTTACAAACACCAGTTTATCATGTAACCAGTCAACAGTTGTAGTGTTACAAACACCAGTTTATCATGTAACCAGTCAACAGTTGTAGTGTTACAAACACCAGTTTATCATGTAACCAGTCAACAGTTGTAGTGTTACAAACACCAGTTTATCATGTAACCAGTCAACAGTTGTAGTGTTACAAACACCAGTTTATCATGTAACCAGTCAACAGTTGTAGTGTTACAAACACCAGTTTATCATGTAACCAGTCAACAGTTGTAGTGTTACAAACACCAGTTTATCATGTAACCAGTCAACAGTTGTAGTGTTACAAACACCAGTTTATCATGTAACCAGTCAACAGTTGTAGTGTTACAAACACCAGTTTATCATGTAACCAGTCAACAGTTGTAGTGTTACAAACACCAGTTTATCATGTAACCAGTCAACAGTTGTAGTGTTACAAACACCAGTTTATCATGTAACCAGTCAACAGTTGTAGTGTTACAAACACCAGTTTATCATGTAACCAGTCAACAGTTGTAGTGTTACAAACACCAGTTTATCATGTAACCAGTCAACAGTTGTAGTGTTACAAACACCAGTTTATCATGTAACCAGTCAACAGTTGTAGTGTTACAAACACCAGTTTATCATGTAACCAGTCAACAGTTGTAGTGTTACAAACACCAGTTTATCATGTAACCAGTCAACAGTTGTAGTGTTACAAACACCAGTTTATCATGTAACCAGTCAACAGTTGTAGTGTTACAAACACCAGTTTATCATGTAACCAGTCAACAGTTGTAGTGTTACAAACACCAGTTTATCATGTAACCAGTCAACAGTTGTAGTGTTACAAACACCAGTTTATCATGTAACCAGTCAACAGTTGTAGTGTTACAAACACCAGTTTATCATGTAACCAGTCAACAGTTGTAGTGTTACAAACACCAGTTTATCATGTAACCAGTCAACAGTTGTAGTGTTACAAACACCAGTTTATCATGTAACCAGTCAACAGTTGTAGTGTTACAAACACCAGTTTATCATGTAACCAGTCAACAGTTGTAGTGTTACAAACACCAGTTTATCATGTAACCAGTCAACAGTTGTAGTGTTACAAACACCAGTTTATCATGTAACCAGTCAACAGTTGTAGTGTTACAAACACCAGTTTATCATGTAACCAGTCAACAGTTGTAGTGTTACAAACACCAGTTTATCATGTAACCAGTCAACAGTTGTAGTGTTACAAACACCAGTTTATCATGTAACCAGTCAACAGTTGTAGTGTTACAAACACCAGTTTATCATGTAACCAGTCAACAGTTGTAGTGTTACAAACACCAGTTTATCATGTAACCAGTCAACAGTTGTAGTGTTACAAACACCAGTTTATCATGTAACCAGTCAACAGTTGTAGTGTTACAAACACCAGTTTATCATGTAACCAGTCAACAGTTGTAGTGTTACAAACACCAGTTTATCATGTAACCAGTCAACAGTTGTAGTGTTACAAACACCAGTTTATCATGTAACCAGTCAACAGTTGTAGTGTTACAAACACCAGTTTATCATGTAACCAGTCAACAGTTGTAGTGTTACAAACACCAGTTTATCATGTAACCAGTCAACAGTTGTAGTGTTACAAACACCAGTTTATCATGTAACCAGTCAACAGTTGTAGTGTTACAAACACCAGTTTATCATGTAACCAGTCAACAGTTGTAGTGTTACAAACACCAGTTTATCATGTAACCAGTCAACAGTTGTAGTGTTACAAACACCAGTTTATCATGTAACCAGTCAACAGTTGTAGTGTTACAAACACCAGTTTATCATGTAACCAGTCAACAGTTGTAGTGTTACAAACACCAGTTTATCATGTAACCAGTCAACAGTTGTAGTGTTACAAACACCAGTTTATCATGTAACCAGTCAACAGTTGTAGTGTTACAAACACCAGTTTATCATGTAACCAGTCAACAGTTGTAGTGTTACAAACACCAGTTTATCATGTAACCAGTCAACAGTTGTAGTGTTACAAACACCAGTTTATCATGTAGCCAGTCAACAGTTGTAGTGTTACAAACACCAGTTTATCATGTAGCCAGTCAACAGTTGTAGTGTTACAAACACCAGTTTATCATGTAGCCAGTCAGCAGTTGTAGTGATACAAACACCAGTTGATCATGTAACCAGTCAACAGTTGTAGGGTAACAAACACCAGTTTATCATGTAACCAGTCAACAATGGTAGGGTAACATACACCAGTTTATCAGGTAACCATGTCAACAGTTGTAGGGTAACATAAACCAGTTTATCATGTAACCAGTCAACAGTTGTAGTGTAACAAACACCAGTTTATCATGTAGCCAGTCAGCAGTTGTAGTGTTACAAACACCAGTTGATCATGTAACCAGTCAACAGTTGTAGGGTAACATACACCAGTTTATCATGTAACCAGTCAACAGTAATAGGGTAACATACACCAGTTTATCATGTAACCAGTCAGCAGTTGTAGTGTTACCAACACTAGTTTATCATGTAACCAGTCAACAGTTGTAGGGTAACATACACCAGTTTATCATGTAACCAGTCAACAGTAATAGGGTAACATACACCAGTTTATCATGTAACCAGTCAGCAGTTGTAGTGTTACCAACACTAGTTTATCATGTAACCAGTCAACAGTTGTAGGGTAACATACACCAGTTTATCATGTAACCAGTCAACAGTAATAGGGTAACATACACCAGTTTATCATGTAACCAGTCAACAGTTGTAGTGTTACAAACACCAGTTGATCATGTAGCCAGTCAACTGTTGTAGGTACCAGGTTATTATGTTATTAGTTAGCTGTTGTAAGGTAAAAAAAAATGATGATGTTGAGTTCTCGACCTGATTAGGTCTCGGTTGTCATTCATCAAGGTTAAAGGATAAAAAATCATGGGAAAATTAGGATGGGAGAGTGGGAATAGGATATATATTGGAGTGAGCCTCTGCTCATATTGCTTTTATTTCCCCAACTCAATTCATTTTGCAAGATTTAAAATGCTCATATTGCTTTTATTTCCCCAACTCAATTCATTTTGCAAGATTTTAAATAAATAAAATAATACTTTCATTACATGATCACTTTGCCTATATGATAAAATCACTGATTATATATTTCATCATTTAAGGATCCCCATGCCACTGCCAAAAACTGCAATTAAGTTTTTGAAACTGTTTTTTCCGGGATGACTATTGCTTTGATAAATCATTTCTGAAAAGAAAGCCATACCTTACTGGACTTTTATGAGAAATAATAAAGATGAAATAAACAAAATATAGTTTTGAGTAAACCACTTAACTTCAGATTGTTGAACTATCGCTTTAACTGATGGAGCTACCTGGTCATTGGGTCATGCCCCAACTGTTCTACAGTTATATCTAAACAGAGGTGAAGGGAAGGTAATGTATATAGGAGAAACCACAATACAGTGGGACAGGGATCCTTAACCTACACCTTGTAATATATGTTTTTACTGTCAATTTCAGGCGAGCATGTCAGTCTCCAGGCCTGTTACCACACCAGCAGCCTCATTGAGCTATCAGAGTAATATTTCTGCCAACTGTACCCAATCTCCACAGAGTGCCATGGCTACAAACATTCCAAACGACTCTCTCGTGTCACAGTATACAAGTCCAAAAGAAGTAACGTCCACAGGAGAGACAACTCCAAACTCACTGATGGCTGGTTCAACACCTTCCCAAACCTCACCTGTGGGTGATGGCATTTGTAAAGAAGAAACCTTATCAGTGGGAAAAACTCCAACAAGACTGGATGTTTCCTCGTCTCATTCAATGGAACTTATACAGATACCCGCTGGCAGCATTACCACTGTGACAGAGAAGATGTCATGGTTTGGTGGAGGTGGTCTTGCCCCTCTATCTGCCCCTATCAAGGAGAAGCCTTTTCCCGGGGGGAGGGATATTTACCCCTCAGGGGGAGAAGACAGTGAGAGCGAGGTTGGCTCAGGGGTAGGGGACAGTGTGTCAAGTGCTACCAGTGAACTTGATAATGTAATTCAAAATGACATGGACAGTTTTCTGAAATCTCTTCCACCTTTAAAGCAGGTAGATTTGAGTATGTTTGCATCAAAATCTCATGTAGTACGTAGCTACTCTCCCCCTGTGAAAGAGACCTCTTTCCGTCCTCTTCAATCAACCACTGCTGCTAGTTTGACTTTTTTGACCTCTGAAACTGATGGGTCTAGTTTATCACATCACCAACTAAGTTCTAATGAAGTACACCCTACATCTCCCTTTAGTGATTCTGGGTTAGAAACCACACCTATAGAATTTCAACCCTCAAAGTTGTTATCTAGTACACCAAGTAAACCTAGCCTTGTCATACCTCAGACTGGACCTTTGTTTAAACAACTACACAAAATGCTACCAAAACGACCTAAAGCAACCACTGAAATTAAGTCTGATGACCAACAGCTTGATCTTGTACTTAGAGAAAAGGCCAAACTCGAAGGTCAGTTGGAGATGTTGTCAGAGGAAGCCAATCTGACTCGTCAGGAGCGGGCAGAGCTACAAGCAAAACTTACCTCACTGAAACTGCAACTGGAGTCAAATTGTCAGTCAGCCAGTGATGCACAGTGTAAAGCTCTTAGAACAGAGATTGAAAAAATACAGCGATCAAAGCATCTTTTAGAACAGTCCTTAGGTTCTGCTCATAAATTTCTCGAAGAGAAAAACTCAGAGTTTGTTATTCAACAAGAGGAACTCCGATTGTCACAGGAGATTAATGACAAACTCCAGATCAGGATGAAAGAGGTTCGGGATGACCTACGTGCAAAAGAAATGACAATTCAGGCTCTTAAAAATAAAATCGCTGAACTGTATGTTGAGGTGCAAACAGCGCTACAAGCTAAAATGGAGTCTGAAAATGATTCCAGGACTTCACGAAATGATCTTGTGGCCTTAATTAATACCAAAGACTGGTACCAGCAACAGTTGAAGGCTGCACAGGTTGCTAGAACCACGTTACAACATGAGCTGACCACACTTCAAGCACAGGTTACCTCACAGAGCAGCATCATTGAACGACTCCGCACAGAAAACACCAAGCTCCGTCAGCAGACCAAAGATATACAACAGAAAGCCTTGAAGGATAAAGAAATGCTGGCGAAGCATCTGGAACACATCGAGTCGGATATGATGCATAGAGAAGCTGCCTTCCAGGAAATCCAACGTGAGCGAGTTCTAATGGAGGATACATTTGATACCAAGCTGCAGTCGGTGGAGCAGGAACGTTCACGAGCGCAAACACTGATGAATATGACTTCTGAATTGGAAAAATATCTTGACAAGGCCCAGTGTGACCTAAAGAAAAAGCAATCACAAATTCTCACCTTGGAAAGTGAGCAAATAGATCTGATGAAAAAATTAGCTCTGTCACAGGAATGTGTAATTGAACGGGACCTTGCTGTTGAGGAAATGCAACAGAAGCTGATAGAAGTGGAAAGCAGTTTGAAGGGTTTCAAGTTGAGTCTTAGCGAGAGGGAATCAGAAATCTGGAAACTAAAGGAGGAGAAGGCTGCAGTGGAAATTTCTCTCCAGGCAGCCCGTGAGGAGAAGCAATCTGTGGACAATGCCCTTACTTGCTTGAAAGACAATATGGGAAAGGTGGAAAAGAATTTCCGTCACATGAAGCAAGAATTAGGAAATAGAACCTCAGAGTACAATGAACAGGAAAAAGAGGCAACTGCACTTCAAGAGGAATTAAACATTATTAGGGAGAATTTAGAGAAAGAACAGAAAAGCAATCATGCTGTGGATAGAGAGAAAAAAGAACATCAGCAGGTTGTGGACGAGATGAGAACGCATAAAGTCCATCTTGAAGAAGAGGTAAAGTTCCTTCATACAGAGTTGGAGGCTCTGAAAGGTAGTGGAGTAGAAAAGGAGAAGATGGTGGAATGTTTGGAAGCAGAGTTATTCAGGTCTAAGCAAAAACTTTCTCAGATTGAACAGAAGCTCAGAGAAGACAAACCATCTCCTGCTTTGGAGGAACTTCAGAATGAAAATGCTGATTTAAAAAGCATGCTGAAGAAGTCAGATAAACAGCACCAAAAAGATTTAACAAAGCAAAAGGCTAAAGTTGCCAAGCTCAATGTAGATCTGAAGTCTCTTCAAAGTGAGCTTGCACAGAGACAAAGTGTTTTTGAGTCGAACATTGAATTGTTAACTGGTAAGTTACGGGAGATGTCTATGGAGAAGGAACAGATGGAGACAGAGTTGTCGATGGCACACCGGAAGTACGATCTGAGCATGCTGCAACAACAGGATCAGCTGAAGACCGAATTACAGGTAATTTTGTAGTTAAGAACCACATAACTATATTTGTTAGAGAAATGTAATTATATAATTTCCTTTTACTTTCATAAAAGATTATGAATAAGACATTTTTCTTAAGGGCCCCGCATCGGATGATGTGGGTGCCCTATGGTAATCCGGTTGTCCGTTACCTGGTTATAACTGGTAAAAAGCTGCTTTGTTTACATTGTATCTGCCTGTACACCCGTTTCAATTAATTATAAGGTCGTTTCAAAACAATTTTGGTACATGGATGTGATATATTAATTAGTGCTGGGAATTGGTCCGATTTTGAAGATCTATTATCGAACATTCAAGATCGATCGGTAATCGATCGAAATAAGTGCCAAAAGGAAGGTATTAAATAAATTGACATTTTGTCCAATCATTAAAAAAATTTGATATAACTACGTGTTATTTTGCTAATAACTTTATCTAAGAGACGTTCATATGATGAGAAAAGGTACTTCAGATATTGACAATGACCGGTAGATTACCGTTTGAAAAGTGAACATACCTTTTCCTATCTCCTGCAGACGAGTCATGATGATAGCGATCGTAACACAAACAAATCAGGTTATGCATTTTGGGTTAAGTACTTGATATGACATTTATTATTATCAGGTGAAAGCGGGGGATATTAATTTGAGTTTGTCCGTCTATCTGTCTGTCTGTCACGTTTTGTTTCCCTGTAATAACTACAACACATGTTAACCGATTTTCTTCAAACTTGGTCACAGGGTTAAATGCGTTAAGGGCTCGGCGAAGTTCGATGACCACGATCACTTTCAGCGGACTTTATTTGGCGAAGTTATGGCCCCTTGAAGAACGAAAAACGCCATCATCGCCGCGCTTCGTTTCTGTGCAATGACTACAACAAATATTAACAGATTTTCTTTTAACTTGGTCACAGGGTTAAATGCCTTAAGGGCTCAGCCAAGTTCGATGTTAACTTCCAGCGGACTTAATTTCCTGGAGTTATGACCCCTTGAATAACGAATAACATCATTATCTGCTGTTTCTGTTCATTAAGTCTCTCAAATATTATCCGATGTCTTCAAACTAGGTAACAGGGTTCAACGCATTAAGGGCTCGGCCAACTTTGACAACTACTTTAATCAAACTCCATTTGGCAGAGTTATGGCACCTTGATTAACGAAAAACGTCATTATCTGCAGTTTCCGCTTAATAACTCTAGCAAATATTAGACACAAATTCCTTCAAACTTGATAACAATGTTTGTGTTCCTCTGTCTTTCCACCCATCTTGGACACTCTTTGGTTTCGTGTGATAATTGCTGTAGATATTGTTCAGATGTTTCAACTTATTCCTTATGCACGTCCAACTCATGCTAAGTTTGCCATCCAATGTGATTTGTGCATATTTACAGATAATCAATGAGGTATAGGGCTTTTTTTTCTTCAAGTTTCAAGTTACTGAAGCATCGTAAAAATAGTCTGCTTTGATTATTAGCTCACCTTGCCAGAAGGGCCAAGTGAGCTTATGGCATGGTGCGGCTTCCGTCGTCCGTCCGTCGTCCGTCCGTCGTCCGTCATCCGTCCGTCCGGCATCCGTCCGGTGTCAACTTTTTACTTTAAACAACTTCTTCTGAATAACCAAAAGGGCTAGGGTAAGGATATTTGGCCAGAAGCATGCTGGGATGAAGGGCTACCAAGTTTGTTCAAATTAATGACCTTTGCCCATTTTTTCTGAATTACTTTAAACTTTAAGTCATGGAGCTGATATTTTGCCTGTAGCTTTATTTTAGTCCTCTTTTAAGGTTACAATTGTGAAATTAATACCAGGTGAGCGATGCAGGCCCATTGGGCCTCTTGTTTTCCCCTTGGACTAGATTTGAAGAGGATGTATTGATTGTCCATGCTTCTAGTATAAACATATTTTTTTATAATCCCTTATCGGTCAAATAAGTCTGTAGTTATGACAATGCAACTAGGGCTTCGTAATTCACGCCACGTGTTGGTGAGTGAAAAAAAGAACAACACGGTCCATCGATCGTGACTGCAAATCATTTCAATTAGTAGAGCTATTGTTAACGGGTAATCACAGATATAGTGTTAGCTAATTACTGCATTGTAATTTGTATTGACTGTAGTGTTGAGAAGTGTCAATAATTTATGCTGAACTGTGACATGACCTGGTTTGAAGTGACGATACCCAAACCGCCATAATGAGCCCTTCTCACTGATCGTAATTAAGATCAATAAAGGGTGTCTAATTATGTCTTTCACCAGGAGATATGCACCAGCGGTTACTAAACATCAAATTACTTATTAATTGATATGTTTTTGTAAGCAAGTAAATGTTTTATGTGAAATATTGCTAAAATGAAGTGATGGATGCCGATATGCGCACACGTGTGTGTCATGTGTGATCAGATATTTCAAAGGAAACAAACTTACTTACACCTTACTTAGCCTAGCCGAGCTTTTGAAAGGGGTGTACACGTGGAAAAGTGTGCACACACTTTTATGGTGGACTGAACATACCCACACAGGACGATTTGGAAGGCTAACATATTCACCCAAAACAGTACGGAAGGAAAATACAGTTGAATCTGCTCAAGCGACCATCTGTTTTATATGACCACTTTTCATTCCTCCCGACAGTTTTTTCTATGTCATTTATTTGTATTAAGAACTTTCCACCCTTCGTAATACAAATGTTTTTCTTGTCGTATTTTTGTGTCGTCATTTCCGTATTGCGTATCGGGCATTCCATTACCGTAGTGTAAATTACAGTAACACCGGGTAAACAATAGTACACGTGCGTGACGATGATATGTCAACACCCGATATTGAGACTTAACTTTGAAATGTGTAATCACACGTACTTCAGAAATAAAGCTTATGATACAAAGACATTAATTAACTCACGGGAAAACACTGACATACGATCAGAGGACTTCAAGAATGTCGTATATGAGGCGCATGGAATGCAGACTGATGTGTTTTGTTTACCGACCTCACCTGTACATATCACGTGCTAACAGTAGTTCACAAGCTCTTGGTCGCTACGACTTTTGTTGTCGAGCGAGTTACGCTCTGTCAGATAAATTGGTTCACAAATGCAATTACAATAAATCTGTGAAAATAGTGGTTTGTAAAATATCAAGATCCCTATAAAATGCAAGTGCATGTGCGTGCACGTAATGACGGCATACCATGCGATAGCCTATGGCTACATATGTACCTGACATGTTGATATACCATGCGTAAGCGGGCTATGGAATAATGTCCAAAGTGTACATGATTGAGAGTAATTTTGTTCCATAAAAGAACAGTAAATTGACAATTAAATATAGTAATTTAATTTATTTCCGTCGTTTTTGGTATAGCAAAGAAAATAAATGTCATTGTATAAATTCTATCCCTCTGCAAAAAGTTCCGATTTTTTTCAAAGTAGACAACTCTCATCATGATCTAAATTATTGTAAAATGTAAAATAAATTAATTATAAAGACTGTGTGTATTTGGTTCAATTTTTCACTCTTTTTGTATGAAACTATGTGTCCTGTTTGCTTTTAGCTCGTATTGAGTAACTTTTATCCATACAATTTCAATAAAAAATGCTTTTTGTAACATGTTGTAGATATTTTATGATAAATAAAATATTTGTAGGGTTGATTAGCAATGTTTCTTTTAAATATTTTGCTGTTTCAATAGTTTCGAACAATGCCACACGCTCAAAAAATGTGAAAGTGTTGAATTTAACAAAAATTCAATTTTTCGGTATTTTTTACAAAAAGATCCCCAGTTTATCGGAATGCTTAGATTTTCATAAAATCATCTCTACATAGTGACATAACCATTATGTGAAAATTTCATTGAATTCTGCTGGATAATTGCGAAAGGGTGGAGCTTCCTTAAGTGACCAACTGTCTAACGCGACCAGCGACCACCCAATACTGGCCCCAAAATTACGTTAAACGACCACATTTGATACATTTTAGCGATCATGTTTGGCGAAAATATACCAAACGGTCGTTGAAATAGTTGTGCAACTCCAAATTTGCGAATGTCACTACATTTGACGAAGGGCTACTTTACGATCTTATCACCAAGTTCAGTGAACAAATTTGACAAAAAACAATTTCAAACTTAGAATACATTCGTTGATGTGCATAAACAAATATAAAGTCATTTTTCTTCCTGCCGATATTGTTGATTTAGGAGTGAAAATACCAACTGATCGCAGTTGAGCAAAACTATTTTGATTGCGCGAGTGTCCTGCTAGGCAATGTAACCGTTAACCCTACCATATCCTCCATCTGATTGGATGAAGTACACTGGCAGGGTTTCATTCTTGAAATCGGGTCTGTATAGAGATGTTCACGAGAGCACTCTCGTGGGAAATTAACATTAGATATCAGCGCAACTGTGCACTAAACGTGTTTCTACCACAATGCGCTGTGTTATTCCACTCTCAGATCATTGTATAAACATGCAGACTGTTGATATTTAGTCAGTAGCATGCTGGGATCAAGGACTACTATGATTGTTAAAGTGAATGACTTTGACTTATATTGAAGGTCACAGGGGTCAAATTTGTTTAAAATCTTTAAACGACCTCTTCTGAATAACCATGGGTCCCAGGATAATAATAAATAATAATATACAGCATTTATATAGTGCCCTATATAATTTGTAAAATTACTCTAAGGCGCTTTACAACATATGGATAATAGTAATGGTTATAATTGTGAAAACAAACAACAAAGGCTTGCAATCACTTTCATACATTTAACAAGCAATGTGCACATAATTGAACAAATAAAAGGGTGGTATTTACATGACGTCTTTGCAAAGATTCTAAAATGCAGACGTGAAGAGGTGAGTTTTTATGTCCCTCTTGAACTTGGCCAGGGTATTCGACTTCCTAATAGCAGATGGTAAGCTATTCCACAACGTAGCC